GATTTTCAGCAAGAGAACTGGAGAACCTGCTTTCCTACCTTGGATACATGAAACATTCCAATTCATTTTTTGCTTTTAATTCTTGTTTTCTTTTTAGTCACAACCTTCTCCACGGCTCATAAAATGCACAAATTACGCATAAATTTACATAATTTACTTAGTTACACTGTATTTTCTACGAAATATGCACACACAGTTGATGCATTTACAAGTTGATATACGTGTGAACGTATCATCTGCTTATGCATATTTTGATTTTATTATGTGCATGTTTATACTGAGTTATCCAAATTCCTCTAATTTATCTAAATCAAAATATATGTGGAAAATACAAAAGTTTAGTTTTTATACGTATTTTAGCGAAGTAAAATATGTATATTCTGGTTTTTTTGAATTATTATACACATTTTTACAAATATGGAGGAATATGACAGGCCCAGAAAGGCATATATCGTAAAATATATGTTTATATGCAAAAAAAAAAAATAATGGAACCGTTAAAATAATACTTGAAGAAACAGAAAGGAATGAAATATGGGTAGTGCCAGCTAATTTTTTTTATTAACTCATATAGGCTATCGTCGCAGCTGTGTAAATCTTACATGGATATGAGATTAAGCTGTAAAAAATAATATAGTTGTCTAAGGATGCAGTTTGCAACTTTCCTGTTGTTTTGATTGATTCTGCATCGTCTGATGGACGTCCTGCTGTTGATTCTGACGTTCGTTGAAGGGATAAGCAACTCAGTAATTTGTCCGATAGAAGCGTCTGGCAGAACTTTGGCCATTCCGGCTTGTTTTTGTTGTATTTTCAGTATCGTCGATGCCTTATCAACTGGAAAAAAAAGTGAAAGCCGAAACGATCTTAGAAATAATTAACTGAAAAAAAAGTCGAAATATTCTTTAAAAAATAATAGCTCGAGTCAATATATTCTTCGAAGAATTATAGGTTCTGGCATCGCATTTTTCTTGATGTGTAATTTATCTCAAATTTGTTAAATAGGAGCTAGCTGTGATAGGAAATACACGTGGTTCATTAAAGTGATAGAGTAGGAGATGAGGGATCAATCTGGCTATCACACAAAAAAAAATGTTAGGATGCAGTCTGTGTTTCATCCCTTAGCTGTAAACAGTGACCGAGCGCAGGTAGTGATGGGAATCATCAGTATAGCCTCATACCTGCCATATATATGAAGAGTATGTTCCCTTAAGAAACCGGTTTAGGATGTCTGATGATGTGCTTGGCTGCAAAACGACATTCAGTACCGGTTTGTGTTTGCGCTGCTTTTTACAAATATATGCCATTGTTTCTGTCGGATGTGGATCGTGTGCTGGCTTCCGGATCCGTTACAAATGTTAGCCCGTTTTCGGAAGCGACTGATTTGGAGGATGTTGCGCAACTGGTCAATCCGGTGTTTGATTTAATCCCAGCTGAACTCATCTATCTCTACATATCACATACATCCTCATTTACGCCCTCGCACGTCTATCGCTTCATCGGGGACTATTATTGTCCGGATCTGATCGGTCGTATTTCATTGTAAAATCGCATTTTGTCCCAGTAAATCTTGTTAAATAAATTTTTTTTTCTTGTTTGTCGCTATGTTTTTGGAAGTAAAATGCCTGAAGTTTTCTTCGAACACGTCTTCTTTTTACGGAAATCAAGTAAAAATCGATAGCCCGCATTTCACTCACATAAATTCACTTACTTTGAGGTACATAGGCATGCAAAAATGACCCAAGTGATAGTTTTCTGCGTGAAGCCTGGTCATTTTTCTGGTAAATACTCTTTCTTCGAAAAAATGCAAATTTTCAGTTCACTGAAAAATGGAGATGTTGCTGGAGCGATCGTTCGTCAAAAAATTCAAATACGTAAATGAGTCTTGAGTAGCAACCACCTGCTGGCAAGGCTGTTAATGACTCTGTCTCTTCCGAGTGCTGCTGGGAAGCAAGAAATTAACATATATAACTTTGCATGGGAAACTGAATTTATTTTAAAGTACTTTTCGTGGCTCTGTAACACCCGCATTTCTTCGGGGGGGGGGGGGGG